TGCTGGAGTTGGCAGCGGCAGTTCTGGCTTTCCTGTTCCAGGACTGGGTGAGGGACAGGGTCAAGGAATTCTTTGAGAATAACATTAAATCCTACAGAGATGATATTGACCTCCAGAACCTCATTGATTCGCTACAGAAAATAGTAAGTTCATATCCTGTCACTTCTTTCGTGCATTCTAGAAGAATATGTAGATTTGGAAGTTTTCCTCTTTGTTAAATTTATCATGTTCTGTAGCTAATAGTGCTGAGTTAGACGTGGTGTTTTGCTCTTTCTGCATTGAAAGCATCGGGGAAGCAAGATATTCTGAGATACAGTGCTGTTCTAACTGCAAATGTGGAAACTCTGCCAAGCATCCATCTGCCTTTTGACTTTCTTGACTTGCACATGGCCTTTTATCTCCTGACATGCACCTCATCTTGAAGCAGACGATTTTTAACTGGGAAAGGCTAGTCTCTGGTCAGGTAGCTGCCAAGGAAGGTTGAAACAATTTTACACTCCTGTGGTCTTAAAATTTTCAGTTACCCGAAGAGTGATGTACACCAGGAGATCACAAGGCTTGTGCTAGTGAGCCAGATGGCTTTCAATCAGCTGCTTTTGTAATCATGCCCAGGAAACAACCAGTGAGGGTGACTCTTCTGACTTATTTATTTGTGTGTGGTTAAAAAATATACAGAGAGAAACAGAGTGCATATGTGAGTACTTCATGAACAGGTAAAATGGTTATCTCCTTTATGGGTTTTTTTTCCCTTATGAAAGAAGGTTGGTTTTGTCTGTCATTGATCTTCTAGATCATGTTAGAAATCTGTCCTCATAGCTCAGTTTGATAGCAAAGTATGTTTTAGAGTGGATACCAGTTTGGTCAGCTGTATATTACCACCAGTTACTTATCCTGTTCATTCACTCTTGTGTGCATTGATACGGAAACATCTTCTGACTAAGCTGCTTGGATAGATTTCAGTGCTGTTTTGCTTTAGCTTTCAGGGCTAAGGGCACCTTTTTTGTAAGGTAGGACTCCTGACCATGATCAGCATAGGTAATTGTCTGTGTTGTCCACTCTGTTGCTCTTTGTTTATCTAATGTCAGTGTAGTCAGCTAGGCTAATACGCTAAGCTGATTTACAGTTGAACTCCAGTTAAATACTTTTCAATGAAAATAAAAGGCTGAGCTTACTGAAAGGAGGTCACTAGCCAGATTAACAAGCTAATAAACCTGAAAAAGGAAAGACCAGAAAAATCTCTGACCTGTCGTTGATCCATACCTGAAGGTACTGAGGAAGGAGGGGAAGTATGCAGCGTGGATTAGCAAGTGTAGTTCTGCAAGGGTTGAACAACAAGGTACAGCGGTGTGTTCAGATGCCTCACTGAAGCCCATCTTCTAAGTAGCCATGCTCCTTAGGCTGACTTGTTCCACTTTCAGCGTGTGCCTTGGGACCCTATGTCAGGTCTTGCTGAGATGGAGTTAACTTTCCCAATAGCAGCCCTCAGTGCTGTCTATTGGTAGCAAGCAAGGTGTTGATAACACATTGGTGTTTTGGCCACTGCTGAGCAGTGCTGGCACAGCACTAAGGCTAAATTGTAATTTACAATGTTTATCTTCTGGTACAACTGCTACGTGTACTGAAGCCCTGCTTCCTGGGCAGTGGCTGGACATTGCCTGCTGATGGGAAGTAGAAAATATATCTTGTGGTTTTCCCTTACTTCCATGTGTGGCCTTTTGCTTTGGTCAAGATAAAGGCAGTTTATTAAAGAGGGGTTTTTCATCTAATTTTTTTCTGCTGAAGAGAGGATTGAGAGAGCAGCTTGGTGGGCACCTAGTGTTCAGCCAAGGTTAAACCACCACAGACCCAGAGAGCTTTTTGTAGGCAGCTCCTTGCTCAGGCTAATTAGATTACTTTCAGGCTTCATAGTCTCTACCTTACTAAGGTATATTAGCATGTCTAGTGGTTGTATGGCCTTTTAAAAAGGCATAGATGTGTGTGGGAGAATGGACTAGAAAGACAAAAATGAACCTCTTGGCTTTCTTCATGGTAAATGTATTAGTGACCGAAAATCGTTCGTTCTTGATGTTTTTCTATTCTGACCATTCTGTTCAGCTCTTCAGTCATATTTCCTGTGCAAACTACGTGTAAACAATTCTGCTCTGTTCACATCTGTGTCTGTCACAACTTGATAACTCCTGAATCCATTTACTGACTTCAAGTTTTGGTGATCTTGCAGACTGTTAGGTTAATACCAGTCTTGTGAAGACGGGCAGTGGGCAGAGGAGAAATGCTAGAGGTAACCCAAGAGGATAGAACATCCTGAGGTACCAGGAAAATCTGTGTGATGGTATAACATTTCAAGTAATCAAATTTTAGAGAAAGATTTGAGCCCTTAAATATCCAGGCCCGTAAACTGCAAAGCATAACTTAATAAGAAACTAACTTTCTTTAGCTCCATGAATTTGAACATTCCTTGAAATGTTGGGATTTTCCCAACCTGCAATTATGGTAATTATATTACACTGTTTGGGTCAAGAAACTTATGTGAAATACTTCTAGAGTTGACTGACCTTTGAGCTAGTGAGACTTTAGCACTTAGTCCATTTGGATATGAAAACCTTCTAATTTAAAGGAAAGGAAGTATATTCACAAATGTTTGGATCCACTCTTTACAGTAAACAAGGAAAAGAAAACTTGTTGATTCATGAAGATTTAAGGATGGAGTCACAAATTTAAAGAAACATTTTTCATAGTTTTTCTGGTTTTGGTTGACTTGGAAATAATGGGAGTACAAAGCATTTGTATAACCTCCTTTGTTGCACCGTTTATGGATGTACAGAGATTACATCTAGCAATTACATCTAAAGTGATAGTTCATAAGATTTTGCTTGTCATGCTGACATCTGTTTCCAGGAGCAGTATGCCAAATGTATTGCTTTGATTTCATAGAGTCACAGTATTGATTATTCATTTTTTACTCTAATGTTGCTGTTGATTCTGTACAGCCTTAGAGAAAGTGAAGATGATGAACAAATATCATTCCAGAGAGTTTGTTCAATTGTCTCTACAGTGCCTGCAAATGCTAAGTGTTTGTTTATCTGTTGCAGAACCATTGCTGTGGTGCCCAAGGTCCAGATGACTGGGACTTTAACATATACTTTAACTGCAGCAGTGAAAGCAAAAGTCGTGAGAAGTGCGGTGTTCCTTTTTCCTGTTGTATACCTGATCCTGCTGTAAGTTGTTTCCTGGCTTTGTGTTTCTCTGATGTTTCAGAGTTATGAAAGGAAGTACTTCCTGAATACAGCGTGATGACTAGGGCTTTGAAAGGTCTTCTAAATGACCAAAATTACTCTTGCGCAGACAAACTCTTTTCATGTTTCTGTTCTATCCCTTTTAGAGTCCAAATATGGCAACCTGTTATTCAGCTGAAAATTCATTGTCACCAAAAATTCACGCTATTTTTGTATGGCTTTAGTCTGCAAGTATTGGTGCTGTGATATATTTTTTTTTTATACGCAATGTGTTGTTTCCTTGAACTCATGGCCTCTTATCTAGCTTGGAAGGACCTGAGAGCACTGTAAGCAGTGTGTTTGCCCCAGTTAAAATTAATGTTACACCACTGCTCTGCCGGACAAGGAGGAGTAACTCCATTTGCTGATTGTTTATCAGTGACTAGTAAAGTGCTCATGCACAAACTCAGTTTGAAGCACTTGAGTCAATTCTCTGTTTTTGGCAATATTTAGGTGCTTATTGGTTAGATCTGTTTACTGAACTTTAGGAATCTGACCCTTTCAGTGAAAGCCAAAATGTGGAGGTAGGAACTAATGTATAATTCTTTATAGTATTAGTGGGAATAGTTACAGCTGAAAGTCAGTCCAGCAATCCTCATGCAGAGCAGATAGCCATTGGTAGGTTATACTAAGGCTTTTGATTGTCTTGGAAATCAGCCAAGGAAAGACTGTCAGGGAAATATTCCATGTTCAGATTCCCTAGTAATAATTTTCTATTTTAATTTGGAGCAGTACAATTCCTGTAACTTTCTGTTGGGATCTGCAACTGGAGTGTTTTGCCTTGATGATTAGGTGTATCTTGGATCTGGGTTATCTGTGAGACTTTGAACTATCAACTGAGGGGGCTCGAGTGGCTTGCAGCTGTTACTTGTTTTAGCTGGTTGGGATAGCAAGTTGTATACCATTTGAAATGATGGACTTGTAAGGCATATTTCTCCACTGCAGATGTAAATAAGTCAGCCTGGTATCTTTATTGCTACCTCAGTGTTAAGGCATTACTTGAAATAGCTAACACGAAACTGATCTTGGAAATGCAGATGTCTTATCTGTATGCTGGCAGTCCATGCCACAGTTGCTACTCTTCATGTCAAAAAGTCCTTGCTCTAGTTGAAAGCCAAGCGAGAGAAGGAGCTGGGATTTCTGGTGGACTATGCTTACCTGCTAGTATACACCTCTGCTTTGTCATTGCTTTTCTTGTGTTCTACTAGTGCTTTGCTCATTTTTACTAGAAATGCTTGTTCAAATGGTTGGCTCTGACAGTCCTGATTTGTGAATCTAAAAGACAGAAAAGCTTCCTGTGAACAGGAAGTTTGTATTCAATTCAATTGATTTAAAATAAATCTTTTTTACTTTGCAGCAAAAAGTTGTGAATACACAGTGTGGCTATGATATCAGAAAGAAGGTAAGGTGCTGGGATCTTGCTGTCTGTCATGTTCTGTGCCTGCATAGGCGAAACAGTGGAATTACTGATATATATGTCAGCTTAAAATTCTGGGAACTGATTGAGTGTGCTACATCATACTACGAGTGTGGTAGAGATTGTCCTTGTTTAAAGTAAAATTGTACTGTGGGAGAGTGGAGAAAACAAGTGATGGAACCAGTAAAGGGGAAGATGTGTTTCAAAAAGTGGTAGGACTTGCATTTTGAATGTGCATTTCAATTATTAGTTCTAATAGTCTAACTCTGAATTCAATTATCTGCTAATTTGAAAGTAGTTTAATAGCAGGATATGCAGGAACATACTAACATCAATAGCTGACATTCTCTGATTTAATCTGGGCATATATGTATTTCTGGTGTCTGGTTAAAAACATTACTGCATAAGTGACAAATCATTAGTTTAACTGTATCATGTGACTGACTGATCTTATAATAAACTTGAGCAGAAAAGTAATATGCTTATTGTTCCTTTCCATATTCAGAGCAAGAGTCAATGGGATGATCAGATTTTTGTCAAAGGATGCATTCTTGCTCTTGAAGCTTGGTTACCCCGAAACATCTATATTGTTGCAGGTGTCTTCATAGCTATCTCACTGCTCCAGGTTAGTTGTTTTTGTTATGATACTCTAGGAAAAGTGTCAAGTTTATCTTCAGCAGATTTATACCTGCAAAAGTAGGTATGGAGGGAGGTAGAGTAAATATTTTGACGCTGTGGATTTTTTTAGGTATGAGAATAACATGGAAAAAATATTTTTAGGGTGGGGGACTTAGAGTAAAAATATCTGATATCAGCTAATCTTAATTCTGTTGAAATTATGTTCCTCAAAGCAATGAAGGTCACTATAAAAATACAATACAATTATAATACATACAGTAAACGATTGTGATTAATATAGTTATATTAATATATTATTATTATGTAAAATAATGTGATACAATAATAAGCTTCTGACACTTCAGTATGCCATGATGGAGGGGAGATCTTCTGGTCATGTACTCGAGTAAATCTGAACTACAGTCTTCTATCACTAAAGTGAAATGACTAAAATACAGTTCTGTCCTTCATGCTAAGTTTACCACTCAGCTGGCTGTGACACATACCACACTGCTCAAAAAAAGTTGAAGGGAAGAGCAGGGAAAATGTGAACAGGTTGCAATGGAATATTAGCAGAACCAGATGAAGGAGTTGCTGTGACCTCTTCCAGTACCTTGTCGGTGCTTGATATGTCAAAGAAAGAACCAAATTCTCAGTAAAATGTATCAGATTACTTTTTTCAAGGTGGATTCTGCTTTCATTGTGGCCGTTGTTTACACTTACCTATGTTTCTTGGCTATGGTACCGCTTCACTCAGTGGGAAATAACAAACTTTTAAGTCCACTACAGAATGTATTTTCCATTTAACTGAAAACAGTTGAGCATAGAATGTTGGCACAATACCTGTTCCCAGCCATGATAATACAGCCCTCTGCTGGGGTCTTGATATTTTATCACAATGTAATAGTGCTTCCATGGCTTTGAGATGCTGTCCTGAGAACAACACCTTCCGTTAGGAAGATGTTCAAGATACGAAGTCTAATCTTTTGACAGTGTGTGGACTGACAATAGTTTATTCATGTCCTGAGTGCCTGTGAAACCACTTTGTAACTTGCATTTTCAAATTGGGTCTTTCTTCTGCATTAAACTATTTCATGGTGAGACTGAGTGTTAAATATAACCTGTCTACACCTAAAACAAACCTTTTGGCTTTTCCAAAACTTCACCCCAGTCTTCTGTGGTTTTACTGAGAATGTTCAGGAAATGTGCTGAGTTATGAATTTATCCTCAATTTATAAAGGAAGATTTCCCTGAACTTGAGTGAATGTTAAAATTTGAAATGTAAATGTCTTCGAATAATCTGGGACTTTTCTCACTACTGTTTGTGACAAAAATTTCATGTTAGTGCAGGTAATTGTACATTCTGTATGTATTTTAAAAATTTGATCAGAAAATTGACTGGATTATCCAAAGCTGTGGAATGAATGAAACTTCCTGATTTGTAACTTTAGCAATAGGTAAGTGTTCTAAGACTCAAGTTTACTTGAGTCTTAAGTGGATTTCTTCTAGCTCTAGGGCATCTAGAAGCTTATTACTTTGAATGCTGCTGAAGGGTTACATGAAAGCATCTTTTTCTCAGAAGTTTTATTTCCTGCAAGATTCTGCTGCCTTTATTACTTTTGAGTAATAACCATGCTTTGATGGATGATCCTGGCTATGAAATGATATCTGAACCTGCAAACCTTTATGAATGCGTATCTTGATTCACAAGAGTAGTTGCGCTGACATCAGTGCAGTGTAATAAGAACACATAAGAAGTAGGTTCCTGTTCCACTATAATGACAATGGTAATAGGCTCTAATTTTAGAAACAGCTTGCAGACTGGTACGTTACAAGTGTTTCATCTTACAAATTATTTGGTTTTTTGTCTTTTCAGATTTTTGGGATTTTCCTAGCCAGGACATTGATTTCTGATATTGAAGCTGTTAAGGCAGGTAATGCCTTCTGAAAATAAAAGCAGACACATGTTGCAAAAAAAAGCATATTTTACAGTTCTTGGTTGGACTCCAAGGTGGAAGAAATGCACTCCTGTTATTAAAACATTGTGTGGATTTTACTCTGTTCATGCTTTTTTTTTTTAGAAGCTGGTACAAAAAAAAATCCAAACACACACCCGTCTACCTTTTTTCTAATGAGACATCTCAGTACACCAGCACTGATCTCTGAGGAAGAAATGGAATTTCCCAAGACATTAGTGGAACAGATTTTAGAGATTGTGGCAAGGAGATGTGAAACTGCTGTAAACCCTTTCCTTGAAGGATTAGCATGAAGATTGTTCTGTTTTCACTCCTAACTGTCATCAGTCTCAAAATGTAATCTTTTCAGAAGGCCTGCTGATTTGTTCATAATCTTGGAATCTTTTTAATCTCTACAATGGGACTCGTCTTTTGGCAAGATATCCAGCAACTGTAATCGTCCTGGTATTGGAAATTGGAAAAAAGTCACAAATTGTCTAGTTCTTTGATCTTTCAGTTGTGCGGAAGTAGAGATATTTCTATTTGACTGGGAATAAGTAGTTGTCTTAAGAACAGGGACTTCTGCCCAGCATCAGAACTTGACTAACCAATGCAGTTTTGAAAATGCAAGTTTTTTTGCCATGATGGAAAAACCTGACTATCTGTAGCATTATGTTAGGCCATTTCAGGCAAGGGGGTGTGAATCCCTGATGTTTTTTCCTATCCAATATTTCCTAATTGTAAATATTCTTTATTTATAGAAGAAAAAAACTCTTTAAAAATGCTTTTTATTGGTAAGTAATATCTTTAAAAAGTGTTGTCTGCAGAAGTTTCAAAGTGCAGCTTGTTTCAGTAGGTAGCAAGCATAGTATGCTGGTTGATGGTTTTTGCCTTTCCTCTAGTTTCAACTGCTATATTGATCTTCACAAGTCCTTATTACTAATATCAGGACTGATGAAAAATATCTAAGTTCAGTAATGATCCCTAGTGAATTCTTTTTTAATGAGGAAATACACATTTAGTGAAAGATTAGAGTTGAATTTTTAAATCTTCTGTAAAGCTATTGAATAATCGGTTCTGCTTTTATTCTGATACATGGTTCAAATGCCAATCACAATATGGTGAAATACAATTTCTTCACAGTAATTTTCTGCATCAAACTGAACTACTCC